GGCAGGCGGCCTGTGCTCCCCTCTGCTTCCTGAGTGGGGAGACGGGTGCAGACACAGGAGGTGGGCTCACTTAATGTGATACAAGTGCTCTTACCCCACGTGGAAGTAGGCGTCCTGTGGCGAGCCCTTTGGTGAGGTGCAGAGCCCTCTTCTGAGATCCCCACGCAGGTGGGATTTGTGCATTCTGCAGTAGGTTTCCACACTCCTGAGCCAAGAGTGCACCGCCCTGCAGGGGGGTGTCTGGAATCGTGACTCACAGAAGCCGCGGGGGTTTGTCTCTCTTTCCAGATAAACCCGCGTCTGGATGGCTGCATGAGGAGCTGGAGCTGGTTGAACGGCGAAGACACTACCATCCAGGAGACCGTGAAGGTGAACACGAGGATGCAGTGCTTCTCTGTGACGGAGAGGGGCTCCTTCTACCCCGGGAACGGGCTTGCCATCTACAGCCTCAACTACTGTGAGTCTCACTCTTCCCTTGGGATGGCTGCTGCTGTACTTCCAGCCAAGTTTATGCCAAGAAAGGAAGAGACAAGCCAGGAAAACAGCTCCTACCTTGGACAACAGGGTCAGGGTCAGCCGATGCCCATGGCAGGCTCTGGGCAGGTGTGACGGGGCTGAGGGTACAGGGCCCTCCTAGAATGGCCATGCTCTGCTCTCAGTGTTGGGCTAGCCAGCGAGGAAGAGAGGAGAGACTCGTGGAGAAGGTGGCCCCACATCAGACAGCCAGGAGGGGACAGGCGGGGCAGGGTGGGAAGGACCCACAAGGGTCCTTTGCAGAAGGTCCTGAGATAGCACAAGCCTGGGGCTTGTCTGGGGAGTGGAGAAGCTCCAAACACATATGTAGTGTTGCGATCGCCAGTGACTCAGTGCAGAATAAGGAGGCCAGCGTCTGAAAGTGGCAGCACGGCTGCCTGAGGGACATCATGAGCTCAGATTAAAAGAGAAGACAAGACCCAGAGGAGGAGAGAGGACTGTCTCAGCTGAGCATAAGCAGGTGGCCCAGTCCCGAATGCTCTCAGAGGGACAGGGGCTCAGGCGGTCAGTGCTGGGCAGTGGGGACCTCCCAAAGCTGGTGTGCCATGCAGAGGCAGCGGGCCAGGGCCCTGCAGGTCCAATCTGTCCTTGCCAGGTCTGCCATGCCCGTTGCCTCGGGTGAGGTGTTGAGGGGCTGGGTGTGGGTGGGGCTGCTGAAGCCAAGGGTGGGAGTCCCCTGGGGATGACCAGAGGGTCAGATCCAGAGGCCCTCCCAGCTCTCTAAGGCAGAGCCCAAAACTTCTAAAAACAAAACCCAGCTATCTCTTTATTTTATTACCAAACCGGTGAAAATTTACAGTAAAAACATTTCTAACATGCTGGTAAATGAGCAGCCATTTAAACATAAAATTTACATGAAATGAATCCGTTTTCCAGATCACAGTGTTATTAATTGTCCAAAGATAGAAACTAACATTATTCTGAGAAACATCAGCAAGAAGAATTCCGATGAGTGGTGGAGAGTTAAAAACTCACAGTGTTTGATTGTGGACTCACACGGTTTTTCCAGTCTTTTCCTTAGATAACTGAAAATTAGCCTATTTCTTGAGCATGCACTGGCTAGAGCCCTTAGCTTTTGTTGCTGTTCCTGAGTTCATGTGCATTAGTGGCTTTCGATTTTTTTTTTTTCCTTTTTGTCTTTTTTCGTGTCCGGCAATGGATCGCAACCCTCAGTGTCGCGCCCGTACCGGACTGGGACCGGCAACGGGATCGCAACCCTCGGTGCTGCGCCCACACCTCACTCAGCCAGTGAGCGGGAACCGGTCTGTATTGGGGATCCGAACCCTCGGTGGGAGCGCCGCCGCGCTCCCAAGCGGTGCACTGTAGCAGTGCGCCATGGGGCCGGCCCATAGTGGCTTTCGATTTTGACAGTCTTAGGAGAGCCGTGTATCCTGGAGCCCACTCAGACCCTCACCTTCTACAGTCAGACACCCAAACACGCTCTTCTCCTGATCACAGCCCGGAGGGCAGGCAGCACCCTTCTCCCAGCAGGCCTCACCGGCCACAGGTCCTTAAGCACCCAAGGGGACCTCCAAGTTCATGGGGCCACCAGGTCCATGGGGATGGAACCTGCCCCTCTGTCCTGGGCAAGACCTAAGGTCACCATTTCCCCTTTAATTGTCAAAAACATGACCATTCCATTAAAGGTGTTTTTCAGAAGAGTCACTCACTCCTGATTGCACCACCTAGCATGTTAACACACATTATTTCTTTAATCTATTTTTATACATACGAATTCTAGAACATCATTATAATGTTTAACACAAAATCATGTAATGTGGAATGTTTAATTTTTTTTCCACTTAATATCGTAAGCATCTCTCCTGCCATAACGTAGACGTCACAGGTATCATTTCTAATGACTGTCGTATCATGGTCTGCTTTCCATTTTTGCTGTATTGTTTTGGTCTACAAGTCTTAAGACAGCAAAGGCCAAATGGTATTTAAAACTACGGATTCTTAATGAATCTTAAGCTACACGATTACCGTCCATTTTACAAGACAGAAAAGACTTGTTAGGAGACTGTAGTGCGGGACACTTTCACTGTACAGCAACTCAGGATGGGTTTGGCCTCACTAGACACCGGGCTCTGAGAAGCCTCCATGTGAGGTGGGCACCTGGTGGCAAACTGAGAAAAGTCCCCAAGGAGAGTTTTGAAATCACTCCGACAGCCAGTGTGTGCCTGGATACCCCGTCGGAGGGAAACTTGCATATTAAAGACTATTCTTATCTCTTTCTCCACAAATACAGGGAAAACTTTGGCAGCAGAAGAGAATGCTGCATTTTTGTTGTTACTTTTTCCAATTCTGTGTGCATTCAATTTAATAAACAATTATTGAGAACTGACTGTAAGAGACACCATAGGGACAGGGACAAACAGATGATTTGGATTTGAGGAGACCGCAGTCCGGTGGGGAAGAGGCCAAAGCAGACGCCGTGATTCTCTCTGAACAGTCACCCTGGCGGGGTGAGAGCGTCTGATGTTCGATTTGTGCAAACACCGATCTAGCGTCATTTTGCTTAAACTCAGCTTCTTCACCAGGACTTTGACGTTCTTGGTGAGAGAGCAGCACTTAAAAACCAAGAGGGTGGAGATTTTTTCCGGCTTCTTAATCAGCAGAGAATTCCAACATGGAGAGGAATGTGGGTGGTATTTGCCCTGGGAGGACCAGAACGCAGTCCTTTCTGTCAGAGGACGTTTTGTGGAACTGTCTGGGTAACATACAGATAAATATGCGTATGTGTATTTCCTGTGGATGCATTACATGTACCTAAGTATGTACATGTGGCATGTGAAGGAAAGTCACTTCACTGAGGCCCTAGAACAGTAAAGTCCTTGCAGCTCAGAACACAGACCTGCACGTGGTCTGTTGGAGTAATTCTCATTACAGCTTCTATTTGCCAGTTTTTTAAAATGGTTTGATGTTCTTTCAACTTCACAGAACTGCCTGAGGGCCGCAGGTGAGGTGCAGAGGCTCGGGGACTCTGCCGGGGGGAGAGCAGGAAGGGGGTCGGGCTGTGGCCCTCTGTGTGAGGCCTGTGCCCTGTGGCCCCCCTGGGCGGATCTATGTGGCCTGGGGGTCACCTCGAGAGGCATTTAGAAATGGGGTCCTGGTGTGGCCCAGAGGAAGCAGCATCCTTGGGCGTCCCCATGGTCTTTGCACCATGGGCCAGAATCTGGACTCCAGGTTCAGGTTTTCCTGTCACTCCCGCGATGCGAGGCTGTTTGCCGAGACAGCTGAGGGCTTCCTCGAGCTCGGCACTGAGTGACCCACGCGGCTCCCCAGCTGCCGTCTCATCGGGCCGGTGCCTCCCTGCCGAGGGCAGGTGGGGCCGCGTTCTGCGTCCCGCAATCCCTGACTCCTGCCTTCTCACTGCCCATACCGCCCCGTAATGTGCCACTTTCATCGCAGCGCGGACACCGCCAGATGTGGGGACGGAAACAGCCTGGGAAGTCGAGGTCGTGGCTCGGATCCGCCCCGCCACAGACACAGGGGTGCTGCTCGCACTGGTGGGCGACGGCCACACCGTCCCCCTCTCTGTGGCCCTGGTCGACTACCACTCCACAAAGAAGCTTAAAAAACAGGTATCATAGGCTTCTCTGCCGCCAGCACCCGGCACCCATGCACAGCGGCATGGGGCATCCACCCCGAGGCTCACAGGCCCCCACTCCCCTGGGGTCGCGGCACCTGGCTGTTCCCAGCCCCATAAGCCCAGCCTGGAAAGCTTCTGACCAGAGGTCTAATAGGACAGGCCTGTGCCAGGCCGCTCTTTGGGGTCGTTGACACGGTCACCTTGACATGATTGTGAGGCAAAACTATGGCTGATCAAGGTCAACTATGGTGCAGCCAGAGGTCTGACGCCAGCAGCCTGTGAGCTGCGGTGGCCCAGGGCCGTGGGGCGTCTTTCCACAGGCAGCTGGTTCAGAACAAGCTGAGTCAGTCACTCGTACTTAAGTCAGACGATGTCACTAACAGACTCAGATTCCGGTTTCTCCCAGAAAGTTGGATCTGCTGACCCTGGCTCCTTCCTCCAGCAGCACCAGAGCCCTGAGCACAGCCACTGCTTCCCAGGGACACAATCCCCACTCCTGACTGTCCCCCACACTCAGTCAAGCTTGCAGGAGCCACGGGACTCCGCTGCTTCTCTCGTGGCACAATTCAGAGGGGATGGAAATAGGTTCTATCCTCTGTCCCAAGAGGAAATCGCAGGTCAACCCAGAGAGGTCCGTGGGCAGCTCTGCCTGCCCCGAGGGCGAGTGCGCCTCTCTGGCTACTTGGCCTCGACAGTAACAGGCGAGGTTTGCACGGACAGTCATCGCCTCGGAGGCGAAGGATGCACACACTGCCGGCTTGCAGACCAGGCCCAGCACCTGGAATGAGCAGCTGAGGGCTTGGACATGGCTGTCGCCAACCACCCTGGGCGGGGGCAGAGGGTGCATGACCTATGCTTGTCCCGGCTGTGTCCATGCCTGGCGTGAGCACGCACCAGGGCTGGCAGGCGGCCCCCATGGCCACCTCCTGCATCCCATCACAACTCACTGGCAGCCTCTAATCAGCTCTGCCCAGGCCAGCACTTCCGTAGGGATGGGGGGAGGGTAGTCTGACCCCGCACTGGCCTGGGGGAGTTGCCGCATCTGCTTGTCCCATGTCACCTTCCGGGCCCTTTCCTCATGTGGAGTGGGTCCCCTGCGGTCAGGGCTCCTGGCCCTGGAGCCCCAGGGCTGCAGGGAAGCCCCCACCCCCAAGGAAGGGCAGCGTGGGACCCTCAGGGCAGGACCCGACCTGCCTGTCTTGGTGCCCTGCAGCTGGTTGTGCTGGCAGTTGAGGGCATGGCCCTGGCCCTAATGGAGATCAAGGTCTGCGACGGGCAGGAGCACGTGGTTGCCGTCTCCCTGAAAGCAGGCGAGGCCTCCCTGGAGGTGGACGGCACCAAGGGCCAGAGCGAGGTCAGCGCCGCCCAGCTGCAGGAGAGGCTGGCCGTGCTGGGCAGGCACCTGCAGGGCCCCCTGCTCACCTTCATCGGGGGTCTGCCAGGTAGGACGTGCTCTCGGGGGGGCTTTTCTTGTAGAGGAAGAGGACCAGGCAGGTTTACTCACCAGCCGCCGTGACGCTCAGATTTGCCAGTGGCCCTTCCTTGCTGGGGTGGGCATGGGCCTGAGAATCAGACCGTAGACACCTGGGAGAAGGCTGGGCAGACCCGGGTGTGGGGCTGGGCCTTGAGTGAAGACTGTCCCTGCCCTGGAGGTAAATGGTGAAAGGCGGCTCAGAGCCGGCGCTTACATAAGTCCTCAGCTGCTCCCAGCCCAGCGCAGGTTTTTACTTGTGGCAAATAGCAGGATTTCCGTCTTGGCCACCAGACACAAACTCCATTTAGTTTTAATAAACAAAGCTTTGAAGAGGGGGAGAGCCAGGAAGCCCTGCAGCGTGCATGACTCATGTGGGCCAAGAGAAGATAACACTTAACCGGTTGACTGTCCCATCCTGTGTGCTCCCCAGGGGGATAACGGCATCTTGCCAGGGCTCACTGGCCTGTGCTTCATGTGCGTCTGCCGGGTCTGGAGCCAGACGGGGATGGAGCTGCTCATGGAGGGGACTCAGGCCTGGCCCGTGGCTGTAGGGGTGGGGACGGGCTCTTTCAGACCCTGGCTCGCTGCTCAGACGGTGTTTGTTCTCTCCCGCTGCCCAGATGTGCCAGTGACGTCAGCGCCAGTCACGGCGTTCTACCGCGGCTGCATGACGCTGGAGGTCAACCAGAAGCGCCTGGACCTGGATGAGGCCACGTACAAGCACAGCGACATCACCTCTCACTCCTGCCCTCCAGTCGAGCACGCCGCACCCTAGACCCGCTGCTGCAGGACACACGTGTGAATAAAGACCCCTCACGCCTTTCCCCTGAAACCAGAGGAGGCCGGTGTGAACCCCAGCCCCATACCGCGTGCACAGGCCCCAGACCCCGAGGCCAGCAGGGCTGCCCGCTCGCAAGCTGCTTTCCTTTGAGACCTTCCGTTGCCTTGTAACATATCTGTACATAGTGAGGGACCGATGGTGACCTGGGCCACCCCAACCGGGCCCCGCCGCTGCGAGCTGGGCTGCAGACAGGAGCTGGGCGCGGGAGGGGCGGCCCACAGCACAGCGGCCTGCAAGAAAATAGTTCTCTATTATTTTTATTACCAAATGCTTCTTTCTGAGTAAAATATGGAAAATAAAACATTTACGGAAAACTTTCTGTGTCAGCTGCTGTCCGCTCCTTGTGGGTCTTTAGCACTTGGGGTAAATGCATTCCGAGGGCGTGATCCACACGCTGGACCGGGACCGCGGCGGAGGGGGGTCTTTGTGCTCAGCCCTTGGCCACTCGAAAGACCTGTCACTCTGCTTCTTGCTGGGCCTGCCTGAAGGCCGGGCCCGAGTGTGGGGTCCAGGAGGAGCAGGAAGGCGGCCAGGCCCAGCGCTGGCCAGAGAGGAGCCCCCGTGACCCTCGCCACCAGCAGCGGCGGCACCTGCGCCCAGACCCTTCCCTCTCCCCCTGGCAAACCCATTTGCTTCTAGGCCTAGCCTATTCTCTGTTTAAAAAGGACAATTTAAAATTTTCTCTGCTTTGGGAGGCTGTCAGCTGGGCCGAGAGGGCCTTCAGTGTCACATCAAACAGGCTGGAAGCGGGAAGCCTGGATTCCGTCCCACTGGCCGTTGCTCTGCGTCTCCCAGCCTCAGTTTCCTTGTCCATAGGTGAGGGTGGGGCCTTCACTGGTGAGAGTGCCAGGGCAGTGACAGTGTCCCTCGCTTTCTCCGAGGACAGCAGGAACCACCCACAAATATAGGAGGCTCAGCAGGCCCCGTGGGAGTCACTTCTCTTCTTCAGTCCCAAGGGGAAGCCCAAGACTCGCGGTTTAAAGCTATGAACAGGATGTGTCCGTCTCTGCCGGGAACTCTGTCCAGGGAGAGCGTGCACCCCATGGCTGGGGGCTGCAGGGCTCAGACCTTCCAGAGAAGTTTCCAGCATCTGAGAGCAAGACCGAGACTCTACTTTACTTTGGATACCAACCCCCAAACTGTGTTCAGGCGGCTGGGCGGGTCTGGGCTGTGTTGACCCTCAGACCGTGCTCAGCAGACGGCAGGAAGCAGCCTGGGGACCCTCGTTGCACGGCTGGGCGGCTCATCCCTGAAGTTATGCTGACCAGGGTGGGACCTGCCGTCTGATCTGGGGCACCTTCGCCTCCGCAGGCTGTTGAACCTGAGTTCACAGGTCACGGTGACTCAGAGGTCAGCAGGGTGGGGAAGAAAGGGCAGAAACTCTAAGAATCCACCCGCAGCTAAACATCAACACACAAAAAGCATAGTGAGCCGTAGCCACCACTGAACGGGGACCAAAACTCCCTTCTAGGTTTCTAGAAAATAGGAGCATGGCCTTGAGGGCCCTTCAAATGGCCTTTGCCTGCCTGGATGGACGAGGTGGGGTCATCCTGGATGGACAGACCCCACAGGTGGCCTGCCAGGCTGGAGAGGGTGGAGCCTTCTCCAAATACAGGGAGTGGGCAGTCCTGACGCCCACCAGGAGGGCCCCTCCTCTTACAGGGCTGGGCTGAGGCCTGGCGGTGCAAAGCGACTCACCCAAGGACTCAGGCAAGGGTGGCGGCACCGTCCCTTAGGTCTGGCCAGGCTCTGTCCACCTGCTGGCCAGAAGAGCCCAGGAGGCCACACTGGGGTCTCCCAAACCTTGGTGGACGCTGTGGGTGCTGGGCAGACTCTCTGTGTCCCTGGGGCTCCTGTTGACCTGACCCCACTTCTCTACTCTCGGGCCACCTCCCATGACGCCATGGGGGTAAGGCACACCCTCCACAGCTCTGTCATCTGCACATGATGCTGCCTGCTCAGGCCACACTGGTGCAACCTTCTGTTGTTCTAAACTTCTGGCAGCATCTGGGTGGAAGTTCTGTTGACTCAGGACTTCAGAAAACTGGTCTAGGAGGTTCTACAGGTAAATTTCCACTGGGACAAAACAAACAAACACACGTGGAGGTCGTCACCTGGGGAGCGAACGTCAGGCGGAGCCTGGGCCGCTCCTGCCTATGTCCTTCAGAGATGTCCACTCCAGCTGGCGACCCTGCCTGGATGTCAGGGCTCCCACCAGCCTCGTCCAATAGCACTGTGCACTTTATGCAGGAAACGCCCTTTCTCCACTCTCGGTGGTGATAGGGTGGATGTTAGGGTGGCTCACACCATAACAGGACCCTGAAGCCAGGGCCCCTGTGCTGGCTGTGGGACGACAGGGGCAGGTGGGGCTGAGGACGGCCAGGCAGGGCTGGGAGCTGCAAGGACACCGCCCGGGCTGTGTATCTGTGTGCAGGCAGGGCTCGGGCATGGATGCCGTGTGCTCACCCCGCAGGCCGAATCACCAGCCCCAGTGGCACGGGGGCCGCCAAGCACAGCTCTGAGAAGCGTGGGAAGCACTGCCTCCCAGGGCCCCAGAGACCACTGTGCTGCCCACCATGTGGCCTCCTGCAGCCTCAGGAGCCCAAAACCACCAGGGGCCGGGTCAATCTCAGCCTGGCACGGCAGCCTCCCCTCAGATCTGTGGTTTCGGTCACTTTGGAGACAGCTCTGGAATGTTCTTCTGGAATGCTCCCCTGGCAGCTGAGAGCCTCCTCCTTCCAGCCCCAATGCTCTCGAGAAGGTCAGTGCAGCCAAGAGCAGAGAAGAGCAAACACTCTGCTTTGGAGGCTGAACTGTGCGGCAGCAGCCAGTGGCTCCAGCACGTCCTCTGTCTGCTTGGGTGTTGCCCGTGTCCGGGTAGACCTCAGACACCTCTGCTCCCTGGACATTGTTTTGTGACTTCGGAGGGCGCCAGGCACTACTCTATGACTGCCAAGGAAAAGCAAAATGGACATGGAGCCAAATGCTGCAACACAATCCCCCAGACGGACCGTAATGTGGCAACCTTGCCCCACCCTGGGTCCAGGCAGGGCCGGGCTGGAAGGACGGCCGGACTGCCAGAGCATGCGGTACGAACTGACTGTGCGCCACAGCTAGGAACAGACTAGAGTCCTCACTGCGCGAAGGGTCGAACAAACAAGAAGTGAACCTGACTGTGCCCTGCGCAGAAGAAACACAGAATGATCCTGACTGTGTGCTCTGGGGGAAAATGAGGGATGGTCCTGCCTGTGCGCTGTGCAGGAGGAGGGGTGGTCCTGACTGTGCATTGTGGAGGAAGAGGGATGGTCCTGACTGTGCACTGTGGAGGAAGAGGGATGGTCCTGACTGTGCGCTGTGCAGGAGGTGGGATGGTCCTGACTGTGCGCTGTGCAGGAGGAGGGATGGTCCTGACTGTGCGCTGTGCAGGAGGAGGGATGGTCCTGACTGTGCGCTGTGCAGGAGGAGGGATGGTCCTGACTGTGCGCTGTGCAGGAGGAGGGATGGTCCTGACTGTGCGCTGTGCAGGAGGAGGGATGGTCCTGACTGTGCGCTGTGCAGGAGGAGGGATGGTCCTGACTGTGCGCTGTGCAGGAGGAGGGATGGTCCTGACTGTGCGCTGTGCAGGAGGAGGGATGGTCCTGACTGTGCGCTGTGCAGGAGGAGGGATGGTCCTGACTGTGCGCTGTGCAGGAGGAGGGATGGTCCTGACTGTGCGCTGTGCAGGAGGAGGGATGGTCCTGACTGTGCGCTGTGCAGGAGGAGGGATGGTCCTGACTGTGCGCTGTGCAGGAGGAGGGATGGTCCTGACTGTGCGCTGTGCAGGAGGAGGGATGGTCCTGACTGTGCGCTGTGCAGGAGGAGGGATGGTCCTGACTGTGCGCTGTGCAGGAGGAGGGATGGTCCTGACTGTGCGCTGTGCAGGAGGAGGGATGGTCCTGACTGTGCGCTGTGCAGGAGGAGGGATGGTCCTGACTGTGCGCTGTGCAGGAGGAGGGATGGTCCTGACTGTGCGCTGTGCAGGAGGAGGGATGGTCCTGACTGTGCGCTGTGCAGGAGGAGGGATGGTCCTGACTGTGCGCTGTGCAGGAGGAGGGATGGTCCTGACTGTGCGCTGTGCAGGAGGAGGGATGGTCCTGACTGTGCGCTGTGCAGGAGGAGGGATGGTCCTGACTGTGCGCTGTGCAGGAGGAGGGATGGTCCTGACTGTGCGCTGTGCAGGAGGAGGGATGGTCCTGACTGTGCGCTGTGCAGGAGGAGGGATGGTCCTGACTGTGCGCTGTGCAGGAGGAGGGATGGTCCTGACTGTGCGCTGTGCAGGAGGAGGGATGGTCCTGACTGTGCGCTGTGCAGGAGGAGGGATGGTCCTGACTGTGCGCTGTGCAGGAGGAGGGATGGTCCTGACTGTGCGCTGTGCAGGAGGAGGGATGGTCCTGACTGTGCGCTGTGCAGGAGGAGGGATGGTCCTGACTGTGCGCTGTGCAGGAGGAGGGATGGTCCTGACTGTGCGCTGTGCAGGAGGAGGGATGGTCCTGACTGTGCGCTGTGCAGGAGGAGGGATGGTCCTGACTGTGCGCTGTGCAGGAGGAGGGATGGTCCTGACTGTGCGCTGTGCAGGAGGAGGGATGGTCCTGACTGTGCGCTGTGCAGGAGGAGGGATGGTCCTGACTGTGCGCTGTGCAGGAGGAGGGATGGTCCTGACTGTGCGCTGTGCAGGAGGAGGGATGGTCCTGACTGTGCGCTGTGCAGGAGGAGGGATGGTCCTGACTGTGCGCTGTGCAGGAGGAGGGATGGTCCTGACTGTGCGCTGTGCAGGAGGAGGGATGGTCCTGACTGTGCGCTGTGCAGGAGGAGGGATGGTCCTGACTGTGCGCTGTGCAGGAGGAGGGATGGTCCTGACTGTGCGCTGTGCAGGAGGAGGGATGGTCCTGACTGTGCGCTGTGCAGGAGGAGGGATGGTCCTGACTGTGCGCTGTGCAGGAGGAGGGATGGTCCTGACTGTGCGCTGTGCAGGAGGAGGGATGGTCCTGACTGTGCGCTGTGCAGGAGGAGGGATGGTCCTGACTGTGCGCTGTGCAGGAGGAGGGATGGTCCTGACTGTGCGCTGTGCAGGAGGAGGGATGGTCCTGACTGTGCGCTGTGCAGGAGGAGGGATGGTCCTGACTGTGCGCTGTGCAGGAGGAGGGATGGTCCTGACTGTGCGCTGTGCAGGAGGAGGGATGGTCCTGACTGTGCGCTGTGCAGGAGGAGGGATGGTCCTGACTGTGCGCTGTGCAGGAGGAGGGATGGTCCTGACTGTGCGCTGTGCAGGAGGAGGG